CCCTTCTTACCTCATCCACAAGATCCACCTTCTTGGTAGGGACAGTTTTCCCTCCCTTCGGTGTAGTGACACTGCTGCTACTGACCGTGCTGGCTGATCGGGATTTGAACCCCGTGCCTAGCGTGTCCGACACGGTCGAGTCTTTGCCAAACAAGGAACTGTAGGCAGGGAAAGACACCGAGAGACATTATTCTATCCTTGAGCTCATAAACACAAGGAAACACACAGAGGAAGTTCTTGTCATTATTCCATCTCTCAATTCACAAAAACTACACAGGGACACAGACACAGAGGAAGACCATACATGTACACAAATAAGGCAACACACAGAGAAAGTTCATGCCATTATCCCATTTCTACAACTCACAAAGATTACACAAGGAAATACACACAGAGGAAGTCCATGTCATTATTCCATCTCTCAATTCATAAATGTCAAAAAGTCACTCTAAACCCTAGTCAAACGAAAACCTGGACCCAAAGTCTTTACTTTTATTGTCGGTAGTGTTTAACCCCCCCCCCCTCCTTACAACACAATTTAGATCATTTGGGGACAGTCTGTTTCAGTCCTGCTTGTCAAAGCCAACCCAGGCTGAGAAGACGGATACAACATCCAAGAAGAAAGATGGATATACATGTACTCGATAATAAAAACTATATCAGAAGGCTTGAGTTTAAAGTGCATATGGGGAAGTTTTTTTTACTGAGAACCTTCGTCTACTGTCTCCTGGAACCGAAGCTGCCTGCCTCTAAATTATGTAAATTGTAAAATAGAGATGTAAAACATTTTTTTTCAAAGTTTGAGTCACTGTAAAAAGCATTACATAAATACAATACCAGTCACTGTGAGTAAGAAAAGTGTAGGATAGACAGACAGAAACAACAAAGGGAAAGAAAAGAAGTAGGACCCACTCGTGGCTCACTCCAACCCCAGCACAGACAAAAGGAAACAACTGAGTAAAAGAAAAAAAAGTCTATCAATCGCACCCTCCAACTATCCGCTATTTATCTATTTACAGTATAACATTGATAGGTTGAAAACAGAAGACTCCAAATCACGCATCCGTCGAACTGTGCCTGCGGTCCCGGTTTTTTTTCTTCTTTATCTTTGTAAGATATCCCTTGAACTACCGAGGCCGGTCCCAAAGAATTCAAACTATCCGTGTTATACTGTTTCTTGTAAATTTCTACTCCATCTGCTGAGATGTTGTATCATCCCACTAAACCTTGTCAAAGAATTTTAAGCGCCTTGCTCAAGAACAAATCAAAGCAGTTTGCCTCCTAAAAAATCTAAATTTTGTTGTCAGGTACTTTGAGAAAGAAGAAACAAATCCACACAATATCACTCATATAGTACAAGGTAAGAGAAAAAGACAGACAGAAGAAAAAAGACGGAGAGGAAAGAAGTTGGACCTACAAGTCGTTGCCTCAGAACCTTTTTTGTCCAAAATGTATTTCAGTAAAGAGGCACTTCGGACAAAATAGTTCTGAAGCGACAAAGTGGCACCCTTCAACCCCGCCCTCTTTTAGTCTATTTTTTCTTGAAAAAATACAGAGCATGCAGGTTCTTGTTTACCTGTCCTCCTCATCGTCGTCACTGTCGTCAAACAATGGTGGAGGTTCCCGCGACACACTGGAGGGTTTGGTGTCTGACCCGGCCCGTGATTTGGGTTTGGGTTTGTCTAGCTTGTCCGAGTTCAACCCATTCTGGTCCTGGGCGGCGTCGTTGGCTGGAGGGGTGGATTTCTCTGCGTCTGGGGAGACCGGTGATGGATTGCTTCCCCCCACATTTCCACCAGTATCGTTGGCTTTGTTTTTCGAGTTGTCGGAATCATTATTTTGTGCGTCTTCCTTCTTCTCTCCCTCCTCCTCAACGTTTATCTCCTTCTCTTTCTCCCCCTCATTCTTCTCCTCCTCCGTCTCTCCCACAGTCGAGGCCGTGTTTCCTCCATTGTTGACTGACTCGTGATTCTCCACATGACCTTCACCCTCCTCCTTCACATCCTCTGGCTTCGAACCTTTCTCCTCCTCCATTTTGTTCGCATCAGTCTGTTCACCGTCACCCGTATTTGTCGTCTCATCAAGTCCACCTTGACCTTCAACCTGCGGCAGGTCCTCCACCCCCACATCTCCACTCACCACAGTCTCGTCTTCACCAGAACCTTTAGCCCCATCCCCCTCCTCCGGCTCCTCCTCTCTCACTCTTTTCTCTTCTGAAACAACAGAAGTTACTTCCTCTCCCGCTGCAGGCTGACTTGCGTCAGAGACATCCTCAGTCTTTTCCTGCGAGTCATTTCCTGTTTCACCAATGGTATTGGCACAGGACAGATTATCTGCGGTGACCGTCTCTGTGTTTTCTGTGGGACTTTTCTCCTTCTGGTCCTCCCTGTCAACATCTTCAGCTGTCTGTGGCTGCTCCTCTGAGAACACGACATATTGAGAAGTCTGAATGATATGAGTAAAGAGGGAGGGAGGGAGGGAGAGAGAGAGAGAGAGAGAGAGAGAGAGAGAGAGAGAGAGAGAGAGAGAGAGAGAGAGAGACAGAGACAGACAGACAGACAGACAGACAGACAGACAGACAGACAGACAGACAGACAGACAGACAGACAGACAGACAGACAGAGTGAGCGAGTTGGAAAAAAGAAAAGAACATTGACACAATAATGATCATTTGGTGCAGGAAACGCCCCTGCAGGTGGGGGGGGCCCATAGTTTTCCTATGGGGGAGCAAAGAATACACCTGCCGTGATACTGCGTGTTGTAAGAGGCGACAAAAGGTGCAACGGTCGGGTCGCCTGAAAAGAGCCAGTTTGCATAGGGCCAACTACCTGACCCAGTAAAAAACAGCCAGTTACAGAAACATGGACAAACCCGGCTTATCATTTTTCTATCTTGGGAGACGGAGGAGCTTCTGCATCAGCAGGAACAATGAAGGACAGAGGACAAAGCCGAAAGGACAAATCACAGAAATTGATGTACAGAAAAGTGGGAAGACATGGAATAACATCAAGACGCTAGCCCAGGATAGAGAAAGGAGGAAAGTGTTTGTCCATGGCCTATACACTGGTGCAGGGTGAGAAAGGCAAAGATGATGGAGCAGGATAAGAGCAAGACAAAAAGAAACAACAAAGAAGAAGGCCCTTCCAATAGTACCCTCACACCACTAGCAAGAAGTCTATGAGAGGCAAATGTTCATACAGTGGGTGCCGCATTCAATGAGGTTGCCGGGACCGGCTTGTTGTCCTCGTTGGATCCGACCTATCGTTGAACGTGACCTCGTTGAATGCAGCACCCACTGTACCTGCCATTAAATTCTAACAATTAGTTACAATAGAATATCACTGGGCTTACGTCGGTATAAATAGGAAAGATATACTGGAATACCAATGGACTTATGCCAGTATTTGGTCAGATACAATAGGATATCAATGGACTTACGCCTGCATTTGATCAGATACAATAAGATATAAACGGACTTAGGCCTGCATTTGGTCTGGTACAATCCAGACCTTTCCTCTTCATTCTCACTTTATCATGATTGGCTGTACCAAGTTGTTGTGCATGTTGTTTTGAGATGGGGGGGGGGGGGGGGGAGTCAGATAAGTTACTGATATATATACCTTCAACCCCACGTTTGAGAATTCACACTTCCACACTGCCTTGTTCTCAGGTATTTGGTTACCTAAAAAATCTTATGTTGTGAAGAAAACCTACAGGTTTATTATGCACCAACCTTTCCTCGCAGAACTTTCTGGAAGCTTTTCTTTTTCTTTTTCCTCCTCCTCTTCCTCTTCTTCATCATCCTCTTCTTCCTCTTCTTCTTCATCCTCCTCTTCCTCTTCATCCTCCTCTTCAGCCTGATTACTAGAGGCTTGGTTGACAAGTTTCAGCGTAGTTTGCTGAAATATAACATGAATACGAGTCAAAATATGAGAATGAGTGTGTGTTGTGTGTTGTGTGTGTGTGTGTGTGTGTGTGTGTGTGTGTGTGTGTGTGTGTGTGTGTGAGTGTGTGTGTGTGTGTGTGTGTGTGTGTTTGTGTGTGTGTGTGTGTGTGTGTGAGTGTGTGTGAAAATATGTGTGTGAATATGTGTGTACATGTTTGTATGTGCTTGAGTGACAGTGTGGATTAGTGAGTGAGGGTCTTTGTGTGTTCAAGTGAGTATGTGTGTGAGTGCCTGTGTGGGGGAGGTGGTGTTGATGCATGTGTAGGTTTTATGTGTGTGAATATGTGCATCTGCGTGTATATGTATATATGAGAGTCTGTAAGCATGTGTATTTGTGTGTGAGTGTATGTGAATGTGTGTTTGTGAGTGCTTGTGTATTTGAGTGTGAGCACTTGTGTGAATGTGTGTGCATTTGTGAATGTGTATGTCTGTGGCTGAGTGCATGTATATGTGTGTATGTGTGTGTGAGTGTGTGCCCGTGTGTGAGTATTTTTGTCTGTTTCGCATGTATGTGTGTGTGCGATTACTTGTCCATAAGTGTACACACCTGTGAAAGAAGTTTTGAACCCATACCATCAACAAGTAGCACACAGCCACAGATCCACACATCTCCCAAGACCTACCTTGATAACATTGAGTATCGTTGCCAACACCTCTGAGCCTGAGTAGCTCTCCTCCCCATCAAACTCCCCACGTAGACTTTGGAAAACAGAGTTCATGATTTTCTTCACCTGAAAGATAGACAGCCAAAAAAACAACAAAAAAAACAACATAAAAACCCAAAACGTACGATCAAAAAGACAGCAATCAATTTTTTAAGTTTTGGTAAGAGTTTTATGAAAATATAAATAATTGCATTGATATAACGCATATATCCATGCTCTGTAGCATGCTCTAAGCGCTTTACAACTATTATTACTCCAGCAGACCCTCTGAGAACACTCACAAACATTGTTGGCTTCCCGGGAAGCATACAGTGCGAGCTGCGGATTTCACGCGCTCAAACACTATCAAACTGACAAGATCTTTCACTGTCTATAGCCAGGTACCCATTTCCACCAGGGTGAAGTGAGGATTAGAAAATTTGTTCAAACTGCCTCTCCCAAGGACACAACCTCCAGCCCTGACAAGATTCAAACCCACGACCTTACGATTGTGAGTCCGAGAGCCTAATCACTAGGCCACCAACGCAACACAATGAGGTCATATGCGAATGATGATAGATGTTTGATAAGAAAGAAGGGGCAAACCACATAAAAGAGCACATGTCAACCATCCACAATTAGCCATCCACTGTCGAGGAGAAAAATGGTTATCTCAAGCAGGTTAATATCTTACACAATGTTAGCATAACAGATGCAAGGGGGAAAATGGGACGCAGCCGTTTGTACAGGTGACTGTCTTGTACAGGTGGCCGCTAGAGAAGGTTCAATTGCAATTGTATCCTTTTAAAAAAATTGATTTTCTTCATCTAGAAGAAGAGGTGAACAAAAAAAGACAGAAATAATGTGACTGCTTTTGTTCATGACTTGCTTCACGTTTCAGAATACAATTAAAGACAGACAGGCAAAATATCATTTTCACTTATGATTTCCTTTTCCTGTAAGAATAGACAGACAAGAAAAGTGCGGTGGAGTGGTTAGGCACTTTGTTGTCGCATAAAAGAGACCCAACTTTGATTCCCGAGAAGGAAGAACATTTTTATCGAGCGTCTCAATCTTTCTGCCGGGATGTTGTATTCCTCTCAGACCACCTCCAAAATGATCTAAATTGTGTCAATGGGGTAGTAAAAACACCTACATAAAAAAAGAAGAAGAAAAAAACAAAAGAAATGACAGACACATATTTTTCTTTCCTCTTTGTACAACTTTGTCAAACTCTCCCTCCACGTCATTCGATGACTATGCCAAAGGCCTAAGACTATATCTAACAGAAGAAACATACCACAAACAGGACGACTGCAGCTGCAGTCAGAACTCCGAACACAGTTTCTGATGGTTTGTTTGAGTAGAGATACACATTCGGACACAAATACAGACAATTAGAGTAAGAGAAAAAGTAACAAATACAGCCAGAACCAGAGGGAAAAGAAAAAATAAGAACTAGAATATACCAGCGGGACCCTCCAACCAACCATTCCTAATCCATGGGGAAAAGTTGGGAGAGCAAACTAAACTGTTTTGATAATGGGGTAAAAATATTTACCTCTGTGGCGATATCAGCTTGGGAGGCTCCCGCAGCAGGCCCAGAACTCTGTTGAACAGCAGCTGTTGCCGTGGTCTGCTGGCTGCGCAGCTGCTGCAGTTGCTGTTGCAGCGCCTGTATCTGCTGTTGCGACTGTTGCTTCAGCTCCCTGGCCTTCTCCTCCACACCACTCCTCTTCTCCTCCTCCTCTTCCTTCTCCTCTCCCAGCTCCTGAATTCTCTGCTCGTATCTTTCCTTCATCGTGCTGGCTTGGCTCCGAAGATTGTCATACTAGACACAAGAAATGCCATATTATAAATATATATATATATAAAAATCTAGAAACGAGAAATGCTGCACAATAAATATGTATACATAAATACTGGACACACGAAATATCGTACAATAAATACATGATATACATCAATACTGGACACAAGAACAACCATACATTTAAGACATATACATAAATGCTGGACACAAAAAATACTTTACATTACATATAAATACATAATACTGGCAAAAAAAATACAGTACAATAAGATAAATGCATATATAAAATTAATTAATTAGACATACAAGAAAAGTAAAACAAATAAGATAGAAAAGATCAATAAAATAAGCAAAATTAAATATACAAAATTAGTAAATCAATCAAATAAACAAAACGCAATGCAAGAAATTGATTTTTTAAAAATACACAGACAGACAGAGGGACAAACAGACAGACAGACAGACTTACGAGATGTACGGACGACAGACAGACAGATGTATGGACAGACAGACAGAGAGACAGACTGACAAACAAACAGAAAGACAGACAGACAGACAGACAGACGGACGGACGGACGGACGGACGGATGGATGGATGGACAGACAGACAGATAGACAGATAAACAGACAGACCTTGTCCTTCCAGACAGCCATGTCCTGTAACTGGTCCTGTAGCTGCGCCACCTGCTGCTCTGTGCTAGTCCCTGATGACCTCACACTGGCCAGCTGAGGGGGTGGGGGTGGGGGGGGGGGGTGGAGGAGGGTGGAAGAGGGTGGAGGAGGGAGGAGGAGGGTGGGGAGAGGGGAGGAGGGTGGAAGAAGGTGGGGAAAGGAGTGGAGGTGGAGGGTAGAGAGTGGAAAAGGGATTGGAAGGGGGTGGAGGGTGAAGGACAGAAGGTGGAGGAGGGGTGGAAGAGGGGTGGAGGGGGAGAGGTGGTGGATGGAGGAGGGGTAGAGGGTGGAGGGTAGAGAGTGGAAGAGGGATGGGAAAGGGGTGGAGGGTGGAGGAGGGGATGGGGAAGAGGGGTGGTGGGTTGAGGAGGGGTGGAGGGTGGAAGAGTTGAAAGGGAGGAGAGGGGAGAGAGAAAGCACAAGGATATTTGTTTGAGTACAGGGAAGCACATAGACACAATAATGGTCATTTAGTGGTGGGAAAGAAGTTTTCAAAAAAAATATTTTTAATCACAATTTTGCAAATATACTACCTCAAATTCTGTGACACCTTAATTAACAAAACAATTAGCAATGATTTAGGAGGGCAGCATTAAAGAAAGAAATCACTCAAGAGATGAGAACATTCAAATACATAATCATAAAACTTTGAACAAGAAAAAAAATCAAGCAATTCTGAAAGACATGAAGAAAGGAATTACGCGTTCAACAAAAATAAATAATAATAATAATAATAAATAGCATTTGTATAGCGCATATCCCAGCTCTATGGGCTTTACACTATATTATTACCCCAGCAGACCACAGAACACTCAGAAACATTCTCAGGTCTCCGAAAAGCATACAATGGAAGCAGCTGATTATGTGCTCAAAAACCAAAAAACTGACAAGTGATCTTTCACTGCCTTTAGCTGGGTATCCATTTCTACCTGGGATTCGAACCCATGACCTTACGGTTGCGAGTCTGAGAGCCTTACAAACAAGGCCCATTTAATGGTATATAAACACCTCACTTACCTTTCTCTCCGTCTGTCTCAATTTGTCCTCTAACTCCTCCTTCTCCTCGCGGGCCTCAGCCAGCTGTTTGTTGTGTCTGTCGTTTGCCGCGGCCAACATCCTGTCACACTTGGTCTGCCACTCACTGGACATTTCTGCCTCCAAGCGAGACACCTGCGTGGGGGGTGGGGGTGGGAAGGTGAGTAAAGGTTGTAAATATTTCACACCCATTTGGACATCTATATTACAGCATGTTTGTATACAGTTTCTTTGGAGTGACATATGTTGTACCGAAAGGCATTCTAAAGACAAACATACTGACAACATCTTCCCTTGTCTTAGCTCAAATACTGACATACTGAAAAAATCTCTCACTGTATTAGCGTAAATACTAACATGCTGACAAAATCTTTCTTTGTCTTCAGCTGGGTACCCATTTCCACCTGGGTGAGCCAAGGAAAGAATATGTGTAAGTATCTTTCTCAAGGACACAAAATAGAGCCTTGACAGGGATTCACAACTGCCTGTCCCCGCGGTTTTATGCAAAAAAAAATTCTGAAACTATGCAAACTGAGCCCCAAAAATATGAAATTATGCGATTCTGTTAATTTTTAACAAAGACTGATAAAGGAAAATAATCAGAAATTATGCAAAAAATGATCAAATTTTGCTCAATTATGCGGGATGCATAAAACCACGGGGACAGAACTGCAGTATTACAGTTGCACCCCAGACAGTTTAAGCACAAGACTGCCGAAGCCACAAATAAAGCTTCACTCAGCACAACCTTCTTTACTCTCTATCTCAACCGTACACAAAACTACAATGAGCACAATCTACCCTCTTCTCAGCCACACACAAAACCTCCCATGAGTACAATCAACCTTCTTCTCAGCTACACGCAAAACTCCCCCCCCCCCTAGTAATAATGTAATGTAATAGCTTGTCCGTCAATGTCTGGCGATGACCAATACATCCGGAGAGGAGAATATTCCTGAAGTGCTCCCCTCAGTACAACCTACCTTACTCTCTGTCTCAGCATCCACCGACGTCTTCTGCTTCCGTAACCGTTCTCGCAGTCCTTCAATTGTTTGCTGAAAACATCACACAAGAAGCTTAGTGTGTCAGATACAGGAAAATGTTCTTAACAGCGAAAAAGATAAAGAAAAAGTTCAGACAATTCAGCTCAATGTTCTTTGCAATAAAATAAGGAGATAACAAGTTGACACAAAATAGCTTAATGTTCTTTATTATAAAATAGAGAAAGAAAAAGTTTCATCGCTTTTTATATAGAGATAAAACCTGTAATATGTTGTTTTTTAGTTTTAGAAAGTGTTTTACAGCACTTGCGACACAATAAGGTCAAAGTGTCGGAAATGTTCTTTTATAATAAAACAGGTAGAAAAAATTTAAAATGTTCTTTATATTGAAATAAAATGAAAAAGTTGACTCAAAAACAGCAAATGTCCTTTACAATGAAATAGTGGGAGAAAAGTTTAAAATGTTCCTTACATGGAAGTAGAAAGAAAAAGCTGACACAAAACAACAAAATATTCTTTCCAATGACATTCAGAAAATTAAATTTCGTTGTAAATATTTGATGCCCAAGTTGAAACAGTGTAATTTTGCTTCATGACAAAATATGGGCACGGTACAAATCACCCAAATATGGTTAGCCAGAACAGAAGTAGAAGGAGCAAAACCACACAAAAGAACCCAAAAGACTCCCACACCACAACACCCACCAGCCCCCCTCCCACACCACAACACCCACCAGCCTCCCTCCCACAACAGCCAGAGTACAAAAGTGACACAAACCTCATAGCTCAGCTTGGCATCCTCTAAATCTTCTTCCAGTTTTCTTCTCTCCTCGGCCGACTTCCTTTTCCGATCAGTCAAACTCTGGGGGAAATGATCATCAAACACAACAAATTAAACATTATGGATAGTCCAGTGAGAAGAAAATCTCTAAATGACACTTATCTGTGCAAATAAAGGGAAGCGATGACACTTATCTGTGCAAATAAAGGGAAGCGATGACACTTATCTGTGCAAATAAAGGGAAGCAATGACACTTATCTGTGCAAATAAAGGGAAGCGATGACACTTATCTGTGCAAATAAAGGGAAGCAATGACACTTATCTGTGCAAATAAAGGGAAGCGATGACACTTATCTGTGCAAATAAAGGGAAGCGCATCAATATGGCAACGGTCATTTTGTGTTAGGAAAAGGCTAGTTTTGTTTCAGTAGAGGTTTTACGGCGCTCGCAACTGCATAAGGTCATATGAGCGCCAGAAGATCTGAGGTGTTACAAGAGAGTAACAAACATAAAAAAGAAGAAGGGGAGATGAGGACGATAGATGTTTGATTGGAAAGAAGAAGCAAACCACACCAGAGCACCCGCCAACCACCCACAGAAAAAGGCAAGACAGGCAAACAGAAACAAAAATAGGAGAGGAAAGAAGAAGGATCTACCAGTGGCACCTGCCAACCACTCAAAGATAAGATACAATGAGATAAGAAGAAAAAAAGTAAGATTTGAAAATATGGAAAAACATTTATAACATGAGAAAATTCAAATAATCAACCCCCCCCCCCCCCCCCCCCCCCCCAACCCCAGGAAATCTGCTAAAGATGTGATATTTTCCAATCCGAGCCCGATGTCCAAAGATTTTATGTGGGTGATTGTAGGCCACCACAGAGAGCTCCTACTTCTTTTCCTCCCCTCTTTTGTTTCTCCTCGTGTATTTTCTGTTTTCTTGCACAAAATGATTGTTACTGTGTCAACATGTCCTCTTAACTCAAATTAAGTAACATTTGGAGACCTTACCCTCCCTAAGAGGGTGCGGTGGTGGAGTTGTTAGTGCGCTCGTCTCCAAAGCGGAAAGTCTGGGTTCGAGCCTCGGTTCGCACACGCATTTTTTCGCCCCCTCCTGCCCACCCTGCAGTAATGGGTACCTGACTTCGAGTTGGGGAAGTAAACGCGGCGAGGAAAGGAACTGGCCACCCTTCTACAATAGGCCGAAGGCCCAGGAAGTTGTCGCACTAACTAAGCAATCCCCAATGTCCGGATCGGGTGCGGGACCAACTTTTTTTTTTACCCTCCCTAGAGTCTTGTTACTGGTCTCCTTCACTCTTTACTCAAACAAACAAACAAATAAACAAGAAAAATAAGTATTTCTTCTCCTCACCCTCTCTAGCGTCTCGTTACTGGCCTTGACGTCTGCCAGTTCCTCTAAATGTGTTGCCAGTTTGGCCTCCACCATCTTCCTCGTCTGTTTCTCCTCCCGTATGCTGGCCGTCAGGCTAGTCAGTCTCTGCTCATCCTCTGTTTGGGCATTCACAACGAACGATGCAGTTGTAGTAAGCGTTAATTACACTTGCAACGAAAGATGGACAGACAAACAGACAGACATTCCACAAACAGGCCACAGATAGACTTCCAAGTCTCTGCCTATCTCTTAGTTTTAGTAAGACTTGTATGGCACTTGCAACACAATTAGGTCATATAAGTGCCGAAGAATAGATTATGTGTTACAAGAGAGTTACATACACAAAAAAGAAAGAGGGGAGATAAGGACAACAGATGTTTGTTAGGAAAGAAGGAGCAAACCACACCAGAGCATCCACCAACAACCCACTCATCCTCTATTAGGGTATTCACAACGAACGATGCAGTTGTAGTTAATGTTTTACGACAATGCAACAAAAGATGTACACACAGACAGACAGAAAGACAGACAGATAGATAGACTGACAGACAGACAGACTTCCAAGTCTCTGTTTATCTCTTAGTTTTAAGAACAGTTATATGAGACTTGTAACATAATTAGGCCAAATAAGTGCCAAAGATTAGAGGCGTTACAAGATAGTAACATACAAAGGAAAGAAGGGGGAGTGATAAGGATGATAAATTAGTTTTAGTAAGAGTTTTATGGCACTTGCAACACAATAAGGTCATATAAGTGCCGAAGATTAGAGGTGTTACAAGAGAGTAACAAACAAATAAAAGAAGAAGGGGAGATAAAGATGATAGATGTTTGATAGGAAAGAAGGAGCAAACCACACCAGAGCACCTGCCAACCATCCACATAATTAGGTCAAATAAGTGCCAAAGATTAGAGGTGTTACAAGACAATAACATACAAAGGAAAGAAGGGGGAGAGATAAGGATGATAAATGTTGGATAGGAAAGAGCAAACCACATAAGAGCACCTACCAACCACCTACTGCTCATCTTCTGTTGGGACAGACCACAAACAGACAACAGACCAACAGAAAGACAGACAGACAAACAGACAGACAACTGGCAAACAAACAGACAGAAAGAAAGACAGCAGACAGAAAGAAAGACAGCAGACAGAAAGAAGCCATACAGACAGATCTACCAGATACAGGCCACAGACATGCTAGAGACAAAAAGACAGACCACAGACAAACAGCCAGCTAGACAGACAGCCAGCCAGACAACCAGCCACCAGAAAGACAGAGACAGGCCACAGACAGACAGCCATACAGCCAGCAAGCCAGCCAGACAGACAGAAGAAACCAGCAAGCCAGCCAGCAAGCCAGACAGACAGAAGAAACCAGACAGACAGACAGACAGCCAGACAGACAGACAGCCAGCCAGACAGCCAGACAGACAGACAGACAGACAGACAGACAGACAGACAGACAGACAGACAGACAGACAGAAGAAACCAGCAAACCAGCCAGACAGACAGCTAGACAGACAGCCAGCCAGACAGAAGAAACCAGCCAGCCAGACAGACAGAAGAAACCAGTCAGCCAGACAGACAGTAAACAGCCAGCCAAACAGCCAGCCAGACAGACAGCCAGCCAACCAGCCAGCCAGCCAGCCAGACAGACAGACAGACAGACAGACAGACAGACAGACAGACAGACAGACAGACAGACATCAGCTCTCACCCTCCGTCTGCAGCCTCAGCCTGTCCAGTTCATCCTTGGTCTCGGAGCCAGTGCTGGTCGTAGACTGCAGCTTCTGTTTCAGTTCTCCCTCGCGTATGCGGAAGTCAGCCAATTCCAGCTGCAGGGAGGAAATCTGGGCAGACGAGGTGCTCAGTTCTGTGGCCAGCTCAACCTGGGAAACAGAACAATAGAACAAAAGAAGTCCAATAACAGTTCAACCTGGGCAAATATAACAATAGAAATACAACAACAGCTCAACTTGGGTGAGTAGAACAATAGAACAATAGAAATCCAAAAACAGCACAACCTGGGCACAGAGGACAATAGAAAAACAGTTAAACCTTCTCTAACAGCCACCTGTGCAAGACAATCACCTGTATAAATGACTATCCCCATTGCCCCCCTTCCTTGAGCTTTTTCTATATTATAATGACACTGTCCCGACACATCCACGTGTATAAGACAATCATCTTTTTTCCTTGACAATGAGTGGCTGTCTTGAACAATTTGGACTCTACAGTACTATAACACTTTTGTTGACCCTTCTGAGATAAAATGATTTTAAACGACTTTTTCACTCTGACATACTCGCACAAACACAACAGAAAACACACATATATACAAACACATATATCAGAATTGCATAACAGAAAGCAGAAGTTACCAAAGCATGGGAAAATTTTACCAACGATGACGATGAACTTAGTTTTGCAGGAAAGATTAGAGTTTGAGTAACCACGCACGCATCGACTAGATAATGGGTCATCTAATGAAAGGAATGAGCGAGACAGACAGACAGAAGCAAAAGAGAGAAGCAAAGAAGCAGGACCTACCAGTGGCACCTTTCAACCACCCTCCACTTTTGTTGATCCACATGGGGAAATTTGGTTTAAAACAAAGGACAAAGACACAAACACAAACATCAATGTTGAGAGCTTAAACCAGGCCCACTCCTATGAGAGTACAAACTATGTACAAACCATCAATCCCTGAGAATCAGCAATTATACAATCCTTGAGAATGTGAATAATGTACAATCCTACAATCCTTGAGAGTGTAAATACTGTTCAATCCTACAATCCTTGAGAATACAAACCATGTACATTCCTACAATCCTTGAGAATGTAAATACAGTCAAACCTGCCCTGACTGCCACCTCTATAAGACCGCCACCTGTACAAACGGCCATTTTCAATTTACCCCCTTGCGTTTTTTTTATATAAACTGTGTAAAACGGGCACCTGTCCAATGTGGCCACGGCCACCATATTTTAACACACAACCCTTATCACACTAAGCAATAACACCTGTTTTAGACGGTCACCTTAGTGACTCCATTACGTTTTTTCATAAATTGAGCATTGGCCCCGGGCGTGGTGGGCGAGCCGTCATAATCCAGTCACCTGTCGTTATTGTTAGGTAGTCCCTCCAACCGATCATGTTGCGTAGGTCCCTCCCACTGTTGACCAATAGATAACAAATTTTCAGCTGCTGGTGAGGTAAGCGTGTGATCCCTCATAACCCATAAGCCCCGCCCAGAACTCGTTCACAAATCGTAAATGAGACGAGTGGTCACTGTTTACCCAGTCTGTGACAAAGTAACAAATAGACGTCAACATGAACTTGTGACAGAAGAGTCGCTTGTTCTCCAAGTGGTGGCGACCAATGTGTTTATTTTACCATAGCACTCGGTCCTCCTTGTCTCACACATTTCGTTTTATTGTCACCCTTGCACAAAAGCAGCAACAAAAGAAAAAAGAAGAAGAACCCCCCCCCAGCGAAAACAACAATAACAACAACAACAATGCCGCTATCTTCGGTTGGGACCTCAGAAAGGAATGGTTGTTTTCTTCATCTTGATCAGTCCTGCCTAAGTCGGCCACCTGTCTTATACGGACACTTTTCTACTTGACAATGGGTGGCCATCTTACACAGGTTCGACTGTAATGTAAAAATCCTACAATCTTTGAGAATGCAAACCATGTACAATCATCGTACAATCCTCCACTCGTACCTTCTCCTGCTCCAGCGCCAGCACCCTGGCCTGTGACTGGGAGGCTGTGTGTTTGTATCCCTCGTTCCTTTGTTCTAGAAGGTTCTGGCTCTGTTCCACATACCTGGGCACAAGGACAACCACACATGGTCTTTTAGTTTTAGTAAGCGATTTTGTTTGTTTGTTTGTTTGAGTAAAAAGAAGCACAGCGACTCAATAATGGTCATTTTTAGTTTAAGTAAGAGTTTTCTGGCACTAGCAACACAATAAGGTCATATAAGTGCCGAAGATTAGAGACGTTACAAGAGAGTAACAAACACAAAAAAGAAGGAGGGGAGATAGAGACGATAGATTTTTTATAGGAAAGAAGGAGCAAACCACACCAGAGCACCCGCCAACCACCCACATAATGGTCATTCAGTGCTGGGAAAAGGTAGGACAGACAGACAGAAACAACAGAGGGAAAGTAAAGAAGTAAGACTTACCCTTGGCACCCTCCAACCTCCC